AACGAAATCTGATTTTACAAATACTGGACATCGAAAAGTGAAAAATTTGTCGATTTCAGTAGCATAAACCTTATGTAACTTATTACCCTTTCAGTTTTAGAACACACCTAGAAATGCATACTTGTAGTATATAAGTTTAATAAAATGTAGAGTAGCTAGCCACCTCTTAAGAGATCGTAAAGTAATACTCTCCAGACATCCGAAATCTATTTTCAAATATCCGCCATCAGCGCACATACTCTCGAAAATAACCAGAATTGCATAATGTTTTTGGCGAAAAGAATTAGTTTTGTACAAAGCAGCAAAAGAAGTCAGTCATATAACTCATTCTGTTTTTATTTTTTGCATATAAGCGCGCAACCGATGTCATGAGTATATTTGTACATACATATACACCCTCCTCTGACACTACAAAGCTACTATAACATATACATTCTTATACGTCTGCTGATATATAATCGGCAAAAACATTGGTATCTAACATAGTCATTGTATTAATCGTAGTACATGTACATTTAATGTATGTCTTCTTTTTTCTCTTATATTCTTCACCACTGTTCATATTCTGTGCATAACTGCCGTCCAACTCAAGTATTAGACCATAGTCACACAATCTTTGATAAACACATATGTAGTCATCGACATTATTTTTCCTCTTGACTATTAGTTTCAGTTTATTCTCTTTATAACACAATATAAATCAGGGATGGCTGCGGTGAAACATTCAAGCTGTTCTTCTCTTGCTGACGTTAGAAGTTCCGGATAGCGGTGCATGTATTTAGTTCCTATAATTTTCCATGTACACTCACATTGGCTGTAAAACTCTTGCGCACCGTAGAGCCGATTCAACCGTATTTTCAAATGGCAACATATCTCTAATCACATGTAAGAGTAATCCTATGACACTTTCTATTCATGTAGTCCTTCACATATTACAAATGTTAACAAATCAGAATCGACCATACTTTCTGCTCATCACTATACACAACGTGATATATATCGATTTTTTTCTTCACTTGAGTTCACGAACAAAATGTGAACACACTCACATACAAACATGTATATTTCTTTCTTTCTACTTTTCCACCGTTGACTGTCGATAAGGGTCGTACCTCTATCGTTTGTTTATGAGATCGAAATTTATCTTAGTACAAACATATCATGACAACGAAGAACAATTAATCGACGTTATCCTAAGTTGTTTATCCTGCTTGATCGATTAGATCTTTAGATTTCAAATGAAACTTTAAGCCTTGCAATAAAAATGTAAATAAATAAGACTAGAGATAAAAAAATGCATATCATACATGTTCTTCATGAAAATTGCAAGAAAATACGAAAAAAAGCTTTGACTCTAACTAATCCATCGTAACTTTGAGAAACTACTGTAGAGTTTTTTTATTGACTCGAATAAATCCACACCCCGAGGTAGTAAATTTAGTTGTGTTAAACAACATGTTAAACAACTTCAGAACTCGGTGAAAGCTCTTTTCAAATTAAAAGCGTAGTTTTTTCATTTTCTTTTCGATCAGTATCATTCATTACATCAAGTTATAATTCGCGTCGCTTGCTTCTATCGGATCAAATAAGTTAATTTTTTTCGTAATAATTACTTCGCTAACGAATGTTTTCCTTAAAATCCTCTTGAACATAAATTGGCTGAAATCGAGATTTATATTTAATTTTATCATTCGTGTTTATAGTTTTTGTCCATATATCAGAGATAATAAATTTAGTTTCTCTTTCTATATACTCATGTCACCTATAAACGTTGTCGTATGTTTGTTTTTTTGTAAGTTTTTTATTAATGAAAAGAGAAGTAGAGAAGAATAAGAAAAAATCCATGCCAAAAAGTAGTGATGTTTGCCTGATTTAATAGAAAATTTTCTCTTTTCCTATTGCGAAAGAAGGAAGAGGTATGGAGAGAAACGACAAATTTTATATACTTTCGTATGTTTATTGCTATACTACATTATGTTGTCTGTGTATAGATATGTGCAAGCATTGAAAGTTTCTTTTTTTTCTTTTTGACTTGATATAGACTTTTGATAGAAGTTTGATCGGTTACGTTTCTCTCTCTTTCTGTGAATACAGTGACATATCTACACGTTCCATGAATTCTACGGACGAGTTTCAACAGAGGAAGAGGGGTGAGCGAGCAAACAGCAGAGAGAAAAATTTACCTCTAGATTAAAGAAGAGGAAACAGACAATAAGAGAGATAAAAAAATATGATGAAGAAACGAGAAAAAATTGAAATAAGAGAAAATAGAGAGAAAAAAGACTGGTACAATTGACGTTTGTATTGTTGTTATTCTTATATTATTACGCTGATTATTACTTATTATTATTTACTGTATCATCATCTGTAATTAAAAGAAATAATGTACCATTTTTATTGTTAACCTTTCGATTACGGTCAACTAAATTTCGTTAATCAAGTGTGAATAAAGTCCTCTGTTTTTTCGTTTCTAGATTAACATTCGATGGTGTATATTAGAAGTATTTTTACGATATAACTAATTATACTGAAACAAATAATCTATTGAATTTTAATTATTAAAAAACTTTTTTATCTAAGTTCTTGTTTATTATTAAAAATTTTTAGAATTATTATAATATCACATGTCGTTAAATGAACGAATATGATGGAACAAGTTTTAAACAATGATGCAAATATGTATGTATTTCAAACTTGGAATAATTCAAACTTTTACTTAAAGGCGGATTGTGTGAATGAGAGTATAAAGAACAAATTTTTTTTTTTCTTTTTTTCGTTTCTTTGTGTCATTTCTTGCCAGTTCGACTGACGAAGACAAAAAGTTTCTCGTTATATACTTTCAAGAATATAACTTCTATCTGTTTATGTAATCGGATTATAATAGGTATTAGGAGATTTTTTTCTACTAAAGTAACTAGACCAAATATATATCGTACATTTTCACTACTTCAGATCGAGGACGTCTGCGTTGTGCAAGAAGAACGTATTTCTCAGTTTTCACCTATGACTAAATATTCTCATCGATCTTTTTTCGGGTGTTTCTCTATTTTGGTCCGTGATCTTGTGTCCGAAAGAGTAGAAACAGAAGAAATAAATTTTTCAATAACGGTCAAAACGAAATGACATTCATTGTTCAGTGCGTTTGAGAGAAATTTCCTAAAATAAATAGATCAGAGAACACATTTTGATTTTTCACACTGTTAAAGAGCACAAGTTTCAGGAAAGGAAGTGAATTCATCGATCTACAAATTATTGCAATGATGAGCTTTCACATGATTTAAATAAATTATGTTTGTCTAACGCAGATTCGATAATCAAAACTAGTCACTAGCTTTCAAGCGGCGCATACGACCAATTTGTTTTTCTGTTTGATGCTATGTGACTTTGAACCATGCTGATATTATTATCTTACCTTTTCAAACCAGAGTAATATCATCTTATCTTCTAAAAAGGAGATTTTTTGTTTATTGTACTGTAAAAATATAGTTTCTGTCGTATAGCCCGGATGAGCGTCTTATCTTTGAAGCATCTTCATTCTTTACTATTATGGGAGGGAAAAGAGTTGCATTGTCCTCATAAAGTCCACTAAAAGAAACGTTCAGTGTAAAGTTTGACTACTGCTATATCAGCAGCATGTTATGTACCCACCGTAAGCGACTTCGATTCATGTTGTTTTCCTTGCTCTTCGATTTTTTGACTTCTTTAATTAGACTGTCTACTTTTTGTCTTACTCCAAGGCAAAAATCATCTATGGAAAAAATCTAGATATATTTTGTCTGTAATCGAGTGATACATGATTAGTTGTCATATAGATCACTAGCTGGAAAACGAACTCTAATACGATGCGTCTGCATGTACAACTAGCAATAGTTAAACGGGTCGATTATCGAGAATAAATCGATAATTACAATTGAGGAGAAATCACTCGATTACTTGATTTACATTGTCATTTACCAAATAATTGCAATCGAGGAAAAATCTAGATGAAGCGAGCGATACTAGGTTTTTTTTATGGTTATGCTCCGCGTGACTTACCTTTTTTAGTACATACAGCATTCAAAGTTTTGGATACTATGCTGCAGAGATATCGAGCAGATTGATAAGACAAAAAAATTTTTTCTTCAAAATACATGTGCATTGAGTGATCTGCGTTACTACTAGTATTAAGATGAAATGCATCTGAAACCTTCAGATCTATTTTATCAAGATCATTTTTCTGAAGAAATTTCCAATTTCTCTTCATTTTCTGTTTTCAATTTTCATCTTCGTCCATGATTTCGGTGAATTAATGCTAGATTTAGTAGAAATCACACTCCTGATAAAAGTAAGGGAAGTTTTTTATTTGTTCGTTGTAACCACTATGGAAGATTTTTTGCGAAAGTTTAAAGTTCCTATTAACGTTATCCTGAGTTTCATGTATTGAAGAAACTACGAATTTAAGTCGATTCTGAATTTAATCTTGATTGTGCTTTATATATCATTGTTTTGAAAAAAAGTTGTGTAAACGCTACTTGCATACTAGAAATCAACTTTATCTTATTTTCCACGTCAAATTTCACTCAAAACTCACAAAAAAGTACATACGCTTACTTTGTAAGTCTCGTGACAATATAGCTGCTGAAATAAACATTTCGTTTGGATCTTGAATTCATGTGAGAAAAATATTCGAACAAATGTTTCAAATAGTGTAATCTATTTTCTTTTCCATAGTTAGAATAATAGCCTTTTTCTTTCGTATTGATCCATGTTCAAGCACAATGTTCATATCTGATGTCCTTTCATGTGCGCAGTAAGCAGTACGTGAAGGATACATTTTATTATTATTTTTTTTACAAATGATAGTTTCGTTGGACGTTGATGGTAATTTTATTAATTTATTTGTCTAGAAGCAGAAAGAGACTGATGTATTTTGTAAGACTAATTTCATTCGGGAGAACTACAAAACACTTTTTGTTTCTTCTAGTGGATAAAATATAACAAAAAGACGTCCTCTGAATACGATGGAAGAATTTTTTCCAAGGTGTGTATGAGTGTATTTGTGTAAAGTGATTTTGTTCTTTTCTTTCATTCGTGTGTGACTTTACGCTGAGTAGGCTATCTACTAATTATCTGTGTTGGTTTAATTTCAGTGACGGAGAATATTATAATGAAGCACAGTTACGATCATGGAATCATAACAATGGTTATTACACATCTCATCCGACATTTAATGAAAATGTTTGGGCTCAACAGCAAATGAATGCACAAAATCAACAATTTTTAGCATCGAGAATGGGGGGAACTGCTGGAGGCGCAGGAACCTGGCCAGTTCCCACTCATAGTCAACTAGCGTACTCTCCCCATCCGTCAGGTTTGCCCTCTCTAAGTGACAATAGGGTTCACAGCAGACATATTTCTATTTCTTTTTTGCAGTTAACCTGTCTCAAATGCCGAATGGAGTAGCGAATGGGACAACAAGTGGTGCTTATTCGTCCAAAATACCACAAAATTATCCCGCTACCCAAATGACTTACAATACATCATCAAATCCTGTTATGAATTCATATCAACCGTCTAATTACATGGTATGTGTATGTGCATCATTCAGCGTGTAAAAGGTCAATCTACATCTATTCTTTTTTTAAGGACGCATATGGAATGCATCCATCGTCCTCTGCTGCTGCAATTCACCAACAACGAGTGATGCAAGCAATGTCAAAAGGTGGCGTGGGACCTGTGACTGGTTATCATCAGCCACTAGCAAGATCACGTACATTACCCTATCCTGCACATCCACAAGTTTACGTTATGAACAAACGTATGTATTCATCTACATCAGTTGGTGGAATAGATCCAAGCACAAGTCAGTATGGACAGCCACAACAAATGCAAATGTATTCTGGCTATAATGTTCCGAATAACGCAAGTGGTATGCAACATTTAGCCAAACTAAAACAACAACAAGCTGCCTATCAATATGCTCAACAACAACAACAACAACAACAACAGCAACAGCAACAACAACAACAACAACAGCAGCAACAACAACAGCAGCAGCAACAATCGCTATCAGCTGCTCCTCCAAACACATTATCATCCACTGCAACGGCTGCTACTGCACAACAAGAGCAAGCAACTGTTCCTGAACAGACACAATCAAATGTTACAATGAATAATCAGCAATCGACAATAACACAACTATCGCGAAAGACTTCGACAACACCGGATTCCGTTGTATGTATTTTTCTTCATATTTTCCGCTTAGTGATGCTCTCTAATATCATGTGTTCTTCCCTTTTATAGTTAAGTTACATTGCACCAACTCCTCCTGCAACACCGTATAATAGTCAACAAGATGGAAAGTTATCGACTAACAACAATAACAGCGGTCGACGGGAAGACATCCGAATTACATTCCCATTACCAAATGCAGTAGTGATTCCTCCATTTCAAGTACCACATGATAACAACAGTCCCAAAGAAAATCCTCTTGTATTCAATTTACGACCTGATATTTTTAATAAGCTAAAAGCAACGTAAGTACGCTCATTTTATATATCCACAATATTTCAGAGCTTGCTTACTATTCCCTTTGTAATTTTAGACAAGATTATGATATTCAGTTAAAGTTTTATTCAAAAGATGATCCAGCTCAAGCTCCCTTTTGGCCAAATTGTGTCAGTATAACAGTAAACAATCAACCACTGCAACCTGAACGTAAATATCATTCATTATATTTCAAACAATTTTGTAAACAAGGAGCGAATCAGCTGATCATTACAACAACGGGATGTATTTGTGTAAGTCGTACTATTGCTATTTTTTTCGTTTGTATCACACTACTAATAGATAATCATCTAAATTTTAGTCATATCAATGTATCGTTCAATTTGTCTCAAGACCGTTCATAACAAATTTGGTGCGAATGATATTGGGAAATCGGCTCTTGACTATTGAGCATTGTGGACAAAAATGTAAGCATCCGTTCAGTAAACTAAATTTATTACCCTTCGCTCGAGCTTCTGTAAAGTATACCTTGTTTCATTAGATATATTTCATCATCATATTTGTCCCTCTCTCTCACAGCAGAACTCTTTATATTATCGTAGCTCAAAGGTTCTTCTATTTATTTCAATATTGTTTTTTAGTAAGACACAATTTTAATCTGAATCTAGCCGCAAATGGTACATCTAGTGATGATATTGAACAAATGCAAACTAAAATATCGTTGAAGTGTCCCGCATCAGTACAAAGAATTGGACTTCCAGCACGTGGTACTCATTGTGCGCATATACAGGTAATGCAACACAACGTAACAACAAAAGTACAGCCTGTCTAATTAGTGGGCAAAATTAGGCGACCTAGTTGATATCTTTTACGTTAAGAAAGCAATAATTGAGTACATTCCATTTTTACCATATTTCGATACTAAATCTCCTGTAAATATTTATATCAAATATCTCAAAACTGTCTTTCATCCACTTAATTTTTTTGCAAATAACGATAAATGAGTTTCTTTTCGAAAAAGTGAACAGTTCTTTCTTCTAGTAAGCGAGAGAATGTCGCTCATTACAGTAGTCTATGGATTACAAGAATTATACTGTATTATACAAACAGTAAAAGAAACTTGCAGTATTAAGTCCAACAATTTGTTTTATGGAATTTGCATCCAAAATCTACTTACTTATCTTGTTTCCTAAAAATTGTACCATGCCGCTTTTGTAGAGAATACTTAAAATAGGAAATAAATTTAATTTATATGTTTACTTTTAGTGTTATGATCTTCACTCATTTTTAATCCTTAATTGTGAAAGAGTTATATGGCGTTGTCCGTTATGTAATAAACATTTAACATATGACACAATTGAAGTTGATCAATCGTTGTGGTATATTTTGGATAATAAAGCAAGTGAATGCATGGATGAAATATTAATGGATATCAATGGTAACTGGAAACCATTAATTAACAAGATGACAAAATATCCATCACATCCTCTACAGCAACAGTACCAACAATCAACTATGAAAGAGGAAAATAAAACAATGCTACCATACAGTACGAGTAATCCTACTACACCATCATCTAATGAATACAATGTAAAAAATTCTGGAAAATACCAACCACTAACACCCACTACCTCATTGCCAACAGTACAGTCGTGGCAAATGAATTTGCCTTCACCTTACAACCTTGCATCACCATACAGTCCTAGTTTACATCAATCAGAAAATACAAGTTTACTTAGTATTCAACAATCACCATTACAACATCAACAATTCACCAGCCCAGTCAGCAATCCGGATACACCAAACATGTTACACGGTAATGAATATAGCACTGTACCTTGTCTGTCAAATCACCATCCACCAGGATCCGTTAATTCAATAACAGATGCCTTGTGTCCAGGTGAGTCGAACGAGCGTCGACTGACACCAGGGCCGCCAAGTGTAGGAACGTCAAAAGTGCCCTATCATCAGAATGGTTTTCCTCATACACCTCACACACCATCGATGATGCCACCTACACCGAATCCAATATCAGCCCCACCCACACCACAAACAGCTGGACCTCGCTCTGTGGCACCACCGCTAAACAATATTATATCATCATCGTCGACAACCTCTCTGTCTTTGACTGACCATCAAACTGACCAAGCTCAACAATCTATGACTACATTGACGAATGATGCTCAGCAACAAGAACACTTTCAGCTATATAACATTCATTCTTCTCATAATATCAGATCAAACGAGCAAATTTCAAATCAAGATCTATCAAGAAATCCCACAAACATGGAAGCAAAAGATCTTAAAACCATTGATAATGATCTCGATGCTTATCTTAAAAATACAAATAATTTTCCCGAAGATTTAACTTCAGTAAGTGCTATTTACTTCTTATTGCTTTTAGCTTATGTGAGAGAATTACGCTCGATCAAAGGAAGGAGAATCGCTTAACAGAAAGTTTTCTGTCTTTCTAGGATTTATTTGATGATATAGATGATTTAGCTGAAACATATCTTGGCCCATCGACAATTCCACCAAACATTACGACAGCGGAAGATTTATTTATTAATTACTTATGTTCTGATGATGTGATCTCTTCTTCTATTTCTACTTCAGAAACTTGAACAATATCATTTTAAATTTTTGTGCTTTTCGCATGTTGCAATGTTTGTTTGGTTTTTTTGGTCAGACTCCGATGTGTTTATTCATAGAATACGTATGTATATAGCATGGATTGTACATATTTTTTGTTTCTGTTGGTTTATTACAAAGCACGAATACTATCATATATTTATTTTATTTTGAGTGTCCCGCCATTTTTGTGTAATGGTAGAGTTGTAACGTGAAAATTTGATTTTTTTTTCTGTTTATATTTTGAGCAACACAAACATCTATCGTGTCTCTTCTCTCTGTCTTTTGTTGTTAATTTATTTTCGTTTTAAAAATTGTTCCAATCATTTACATGAGATGTTCTGAACTATGTGTATCGAGTCTGTTTCTCAATAAGAATAAGAATACTAATAATAGAGCAGTTGCTTTTAATAGAAACAGTAAACATCCAAAAATGTAATAATGTCACTATGCTGATGCTGTTCTTAAACTTCTTTTCAACATTCTTTCACCAGTGTGTAGCTGAGTGTATGACGTGTACAAGAAAAAGAACTTACATATCTTGCTCGTATAAAAAAATATCTTCCTTTATGCAAAATTTCTTATTAGATGTAAAATTTAATAAGAACCCATTTATGTTTTCTAATACAGACATTTAGAAAGTGAGATTCTTATAAGAACTGAGAAAAAAAAAGTTTAATGAGTTCAGTCTGAGACATTTTCTGAAAAGGTTTTTTGATTTGCTTAGTAGCCCACTTGTCTTGATATTCATAGGCTGTCAAAGACAGAGAAGCGAACGCTAGGAATCGAAAATAGAAAATTTAGTAGTCTAGAAAATTTAGTAAATCTCCTGAGACTTCTAAAAACTGAAACTTTAAAAAGTGAGTAAAATGCACCCTTTTTGTTTTCCCTGCTTCTCCAACTCCCGATAGGTTTATCAATTTTTAAAATACTATACCGGACTAGATTCCTCATTGAATTCAGAACAAATCTTGTCCTAAGAATATCACTGTTGATCGGGCAGAAAAAAACTCTGCTTTTCTTAGTTATGAGAAGTACATCTTAGTGAGAGAATATAGAAATAGGCGTTTTAGTTCTTATTAAATTTTGCAGAACTGGAGTAGATTTTTTTTATATGAGCAAGATGTCCCTCATTTTCAATGATAAATTTAAGTTCTTTTTCTTGTACTCGTCATACACTCACCTACACACTGATGAAAGAACGTTGAAAAGAAGTTCAAGAACAGCAACAGAATAGTGAGATTATTACGTTTTTAGATGTTTACTGTTTCTATAAAACTTTCAAACAACTGCTCTACCAACTTTTTTACTACATATCTTCTCAGAAATTGTTGTATTGCTTTGTTTCTCTTTTCCCTTCTTCAGTTGTTGGTGTGTATTTTTTTTATGGTCTGAGCAGGACTTTTTTTGCTTTTTAAATTAATTATCGCGCTGAATACATTTTTTGTACAACTATATTATTATAATGATAGGAAAGCAGAAAGAAAAATATAGGCACGCGTATATTTTTATACTTAATAAAAGTACGACATAGAAGTATAAGACACCATATTGTATTGGCCACATCAATGTGCTTGAAACTGACCAGTCTTTGGATCGTTGCCAGTCTTCTCCATTAATGGCTTTGCGCGGTATTTTTCGAAACAATACAGAAAATCAAATATGAATGAATGAAATCATTACAGCAGCACAAAGTTCTCACAAGCACACCAGGCGAACTAGTGTAATGGGAAATTGGGATGAGACTCTTGAAAATCCTAAAAGTTTCAGAAATTAAATCTCCTCTTCTCACCCCATCGAATTTATACCGAAGTATTCAAGCAAATAAAGCCTATCTTATTCTGAGCACGAATATTCAACAAGGAAATCTCTCCTTGTATATATCGATCGAACTACGCGTTTTAACGAAATGTTAGATCAAAGAATGGGTGAGAATGCCATAGGCAGCCTTTTTTATTTACTTTACGACGAATGATTGTAATTCTTGAATTATTGTTATTAATTCATGCTTTTTGTTGAATCTGTTCTCTAATCACTTCTATCGAAATTTGCTCTACGAGTCCCGTATAGTTTCAGTTTATACAAAATTAGTATTTGTTTACCCTTTTCAGTACAATACATAAGGCGCGCATCTACAATAGAGAACAAGGAAAGAGAAAACCTTGTTCACTGATTATGAGCCTGAATTTTAATATAATATGAGTCAATGGCATAGCCATTGTACCATTCGTAAAAAAATTTATCTGAAAGAAAAGTCAAAGTAGTGTTAAATGAAATAAGCAGTATTGATTAACGAGGTAAGTGTTAGTGTGACAGAGGATTGCAAAAAATGGCTTTTCCCTATACTTCATCTAATTTCTTCGAAAAAATTTGGTTTATTTTGATTATGGCTGAAATTCCTGCTTGCCTTTAGTCTTTTCATCGTACCATTTTTTGTACGTACTTTTTCTCTTTTTCGGATTAGATACTGTTTCTGGTTAATCTGAAATCTAAAAATGAAGCGGACGATGCCATCTTTTTAATAACTCAATAACATCGTAAGATAGAACGTTGCGATTTTAGCAATCGAAAGCAGACGCCTGAGACTAATTTTTCAAAAGCAAAAACGGCTGTTGAAAAATTTCTGAAGCCGATTTTTCAGCGGATCTTTGGTTTAACCAGTTACGGACGTTTTTCCCGAAGCCTTAAGACTCATCTGTCTTTAGGTTTGAGACTGGCAGAAATGAATGAAAACATAGGTTATCGACTATGCTGAATCCCGTGGCAATGTTAGTTTTCAGAACAAAATGCAAGAACCGAGTGAAAACCTGTATTAGATGAAATAACTCACTTTTGGCCGTTTTCATCAAAAACTAGAAAATTTATAACTCATTCAAAATTCATCCAACCTACTTCAGAAATACTCTATTTTATCCGCTCATTCTGATTCTGTACTTAAAGCCAATACAAAGCATTCTCTTAGTCTGAAAGGTTTTTGCGAAAAATGTCTAAAAACCAAAGTATTTTTTGTTGGTTTTTTCAACTTTTATTGAGCTTTAGGGTATGCTGCGCATAAATAGAGTATTTCCTGACATTCTGAAGTAGGTTGGATGAATTTTGAATGAGTTATAAACTTTCTAGTTTTTGATGAAAACGGACAAAAGTGGGTTATCTCATCTAGTACAGGTTTTCACTCGGTTCTTGCATTTTGTTCTGAAAACTAACATTACCACGGGGTTCAGCATAGTCGAAAACCTATGTTCTGCTTTTGAAAAACTAGCCTCAGGCGTCTGCTTTCGATTGCTGAAAATCGCAACGTCCCATCTTACGTAGGCATGCAACAATTCCAAGCTACGGTTCGCAACCGAACCTGTTCACTACTGATCAGCGAATCCTAGCTTCAGATTGTTGCATGCCTAGTCTGGACTAAAGACAAACGGGATGAAATTTAACTTTTTGAAGGAAGTGATCAATGTGGTTCTTTCACACTCTATGTTCAATATATTGTGTAGATATGTTCTTTCAGCAGACAAACATTTAACTGATCCGCACTTGTCGAGTTATTTTGGAACCAATCGATTTTTTCTATCTTATAACTTATACGCGCACAATAGATAATTAAATGGATAGATTGAGAAGCATCACACTTCTCAAGCTTGTATGCTTCATAACACAATGATGCCATCGAAGCATCGACGTCAACAAAACCTTGTTATAATATTAGCATATGAACACTGCCTGCTTTTTCCTCGCAACGATTCAAGTCGAGAGACCGCGATATTCGAACCGGGCATGTCGAGAAACGGTGTTCACCTAAGTTTGAGCTTGAAGGCAGACAAAAAGTTTTCCTCGAAATTTTTACCCGAGGTTTCTCTCAGGTGTTTTACCGAAAATTTTGGACGAAAATTTTTTTTTCGAAACACATCGAATTATATATCATTCGATGCATTTGTTTTCGTGGATTCCGAATAGTCTATCACATTGGTTTTGCATAAAAATTCTTCTGAACGTTTAAAATTTAAGTTTTTCAGTTTTTGCGTTCTGCATATGAATATTTATACGTTCGTATTCACTGAGAAAAAGAGACACAAATAGATTTATTTTTCTTCTCTCTTTCCATATAATATTCCACGTTGTTTCTTTTATCGTCTAGTGTCATCGATGTAAGAAAATTTGGTCAGTTTTTATATTTTGTGATTTAAGTGAGAGGTTCCTCAATCCCATACTGATAATCTATTAGTACACATCAAATTTTAAGCTCTATCTGATTTTGAATGTTTTACATTTCGGAAACATGAATTGTCAGAAACATATGCGTTTCAATAAAATTTAAATTAAGTACAAAATTCTAAGCTCTAAGTTTAGTCTCATTAGACAGAGCACGTAAAATTACATATGCACAAGTATTTTTGGACATTTCGTCCATTTTCTTGAACACTTTAAACACCAATAGAAATGTAAACTCATACTTTTATCTTAGAATAGCAATAAAACTTTCTGAATACGAGGAACACAATTGAATCATTCAATTGTGTTCATCGTATTGAGAAAGTTTACTGGCAGTTAACGTCATCAACATCATATGCGGACAAAAAAACAAAACAGCTTGTGTAACATATACATACATTTTGATCTATTACTATTATTCTAGCCGTTACTCACTGCTCATTTTGCGCTTTCGTTCTTCCTATCATTTCCATCACCTAATGTATTAATTACTTTAAAGTTTTCTTGTTCAATTTATACATTTCTCAAAATACAATTTGATCTGCTAAACTTAAACTAAAGTAATACATTAAATCGCGAGACAGAGACCGATCTGTCTAGATTTTGTTACTGTTTATGCTACATTCGTTCTGTTTTCTGTTCTGATCGTGGTGTGAGATACTCATGTTATTAAAATCGGTAAGACATCGTCGGTTAAGCGTACGGTTAAACACCAAGTGGCGGTTTTGTCGGTTTTTCTCAGTTATTCTGTGATTACTGTTAAGCAACGATTTTTATCGAACCGCGTTTAACAGTCCAAAATCAAGCGGCCTTGAGGATATGTGTAGTGTCTCAACGTATAATGCAGCGAGATATAGGCTGCAAGGAAGCTTGCAGAATATGAAAAAAAGCAAAAAAATGTATTTTCTCCAGCACCTGCCGATGGCGAAAAGCTGACCGAAATGAACGGTTTTGATCGTATTCCGGCCGTCGGATTGTGCCGGAAATAATCAGGTCGGATCCGGTCGAATAAATTTTATAGAGCTGCAGAATTTGCCTGTTTCCTCCTACGGTCGTCGGGGGAAAACTTATTGATTCGGGGAATTTTATTGAAAAATTAGAATTTCTTTTTGAAAATGTTTTGCAAAAAGGAATTCTGTTGGTGGATTATGTCGGCAAATTTTTCGAAAAACTTCTTCACATAGTTCTCTAACGAATAGTGATTGATTTAAATTGGTTCATAGATTCCTATCTGACTTTTTGGTATCTAATTGTCAATCATTTATCAGCGTTTCTACTTCCATTTCTTTCATAGTGAGATCTTGTTCTGAAACAACTTTTTCAGATTCATCTTAAACTGTTTTTTCTTGATGACTTTTGCCTCATGATTAAGTGAATTGATTTTGACAGTAGTCATTATAAACTAGCAGAAACACTTAGACGGCACGATATTTATTGAACAAACAAACTTGATAAATACGCAAGCAAACAAAAATTAGTTCATTTAACAAAAATTAGTTAAAATTTTGATCGGACGAAGCTGCAAACCGCTGGTATTCACATGTTGCTTTATTACGTGAGATAATTGTTACATGAGAAATTACACAGCGCTGAAGTTTCTTTTGACTGAGCGTGTGGTTGCTAATTAAACCTTCGGAAGTCATTATACTCATATTTCAATGTTTTATTTATGTCAATCAGCCAGTCGCAACCAGGGATCCCAGATCCAAAAGATAAAAATCAGAAAAAAATCAGCATACGAATGTTTTGGTGCCCAGATAATTAATTATACTTTTTTAAACAATAAAATTTTAAATTTTAAATATTTAAATTTAAATTTAAATAAATTTGAATTACAACTACAGCATATATTCATGTATCTGAGATAGACATTCTCAAAAACAATCCGTTTCAGACAACTCTAATTCACACCAATTCTTCCTATGCTGGAAGATGTTTGTTTCTCTTAAGTTATTCTATCAGTAGAAACAAAGTACAGAAAACTGGAAAAAAATTTCCCAGTTCTCGGGCACTCATATATACAAAGTACGTCGAAGCTCGCAGACTACTGTAATCGATCGAAGAAAGAGCAGTTTCTGAGATAAAGATCTATACAAGAAAGACTTATAACGAACTATTGGGATATTATTGTCCAGTGTCTACTACTGGAATAGAAAGCGACATGAATATGATACGATACATGCGCTATGAGCCAAACTTCAATTCAAATCCACATAAAATCAGAAAAAAATCTAAAAATCAGAAAATCAGAAACGAGGCAGAAAAAAGTTCAAAAATCAGAAATTTTCTGCTAAAATCAGTAGATCTGGGATCCCTGATCGCAACCCAGCGTATGGGTTGTATCATCTATTTTGAGATAAATTAATGCATGAAGATTCACACACTATTATTTCAGCCTTATAATATTTCTGAAATAAATGTGGTCTGAAAATTCTCCCATGAAGCAAATAACCGCTTGTTACATAAATACACCTGTTATCTGTATTTCTTGGTTTTCTTTCTCTCTCTCTCTCTCTCTCTCTCTTCTCATGTTGATCTTTTGTAATATGCCATAGAAAAAAAACACACCGACACACCTCAATGTAACTTTAATCTTCTTTAAACAAGGTCTCTTTTGAGCAATCTCGTTGGTTAGTGTTTCTGTGATTGTGTCACTAGCCAATAGAATTTATTTATTAACGGTATCTTGCTTTATCTTTTTGAAGCAGGACTGTATATATATTCAACAGCTCGCAGGCAGTCATTTATGCTGAAGTTTATGTTATTTAACTTTAACAGATCATTTGAAAAGATGTTTTCATTGCTCGTCATTGTTTGTGCGATTGTTTGTACCTTAGCACAAGTACCAAGACCATGCGGTATGTACTTTCCTCGTTGTTTTGTGCATTGCTGATTCTATAACCAACTCTACAAGTCCAAAATTTACTTTCAGTAAGTCCACCACAGTGGGAGGGACGTCTCTTCGATTACTCAAGTGATACTTCAGAGCGATTTGCCAGAAGTGGCCGATTTAGTTACGATTCCACTTATCAACGAGAACGTTTAATTGAAGAAATTGATGTTGGCAATGAAACGGCTCAATATTATGATGTCATTGCATTGTTTCAGGCTAGATTAGAATTTGTAATTAACTTGAGATCACGCAATTGTTCACGTCGTACCATTACACGACCTTGGAGAGATTTTGGTATTCCTGAGAATGCGCGTTCATATGGTGAAGCTTATGTTGGAACAAGTGCTCGTCCTGGTGCAGGTTTATTGGTAACAATATGGTAAGTTCAACTTAAAAATATACATGATGTAATGGAACATATTCTATTTGATTTCTTGTTTAGGGGAGGAAATTTCACAACACCTCAGAATGAGACAATCTATTATACGGGAACTTGGACCTATGAAGGTTGTCTTCCTGTACACCGAACCGTTTATACTCCAACAAGTGGTATTTTTCATGATGCTATATATGATATTACTACCGGTATTCGCGATCCAAACGTTTTCGTACCGCCAAGAGAATGTTTGACAGACGAGGAATATAAAATGCGCCACAAATTATTTGGTGAATCAGCGATGAAAAAGAAACAATGAGGGCTATATTAATTAGTACAATAGAACTCATGAAATCTTTTATTCTCTCTAGTTCTCTTTTTATAGTTCATTATGTTTTACGTATATGCCAAATAAATCTGTCAAGAAAATGAAAATATTATTTAGAGGAACTTTTTAACTGCACAAGCGAAAGCTCTAGATTGATTAGAAAAATGGTCTAAATTCCAGTTTGACTTTTCCGACTTTTACAAATTTCAGTTTGAGCTTGAACGAAATCGTGAAGAATCTATACAGAACTGTCTAGTGGAACTTCTTGTGCCCAAGATCTTTAGAACAGAAACTTCAAGGTCTTGAGTGAATCAAGTCAGAATGTTACAGAGTATTGTGATGAAAATTTGCTTACGTTTTCTTTCTTATATGACAGCCATAACCATTAGAGATACAATCGTATATGGTCATAGACTCATCCTTGCAGCTATGCCCAAGAAAGGGAAAATTTCGAAGTTATTCTGAGTATGAAAATGTTCGCACTTAGATGTATGCAAGAGTGTGAAACAAAATGGTGACTCAAGAATTATCAAGATTTTGGCACATGTGCTACCCATATATTCTGTGAATCTAAGCGGAGCCAGTTTTCACTAAAATTTGAGTAAACTATGGTATAGTAGCGATACATTTAACGGCAGGATTCTATCAGATACTATCGTGCATTAAACTAACAGTTCATGAACGCAAGAAAGTTCAAGGTCTTGGGTTCATGGGATTTCTCGAATTTCGTACGTTTTTTTACCAAGATCTTGAGTCGAGATCTTACCGAAAAATTCACAAAGTCAAGATCTTTGTTAGAAGAAGTTTCACTAGAGGCTACTTTCTCTCCTATCATCCCATCTGAATTTGAAAAGTTCTTCGGACATTATGAAAATATCATAGGAAAAACCTCTCTTTTTATGTTTTCTCTATTCCATCTTCTATTACATAAAATTTAAACATAATAATATAAAATAATCTTATCGTAGCAGTTGTTAACCATTTATTAACTGTACTCACAACAATAGATGGCATCAGCATCCAAAATAATGTCGCTAGCGGGTGGAAATGCCATGAAATGCATTAGTGTTTAAAAGCAAACTTGTAATAAAAAATGAAGGCAATGCAATATGTGGCTATTGAAGATGGACGATGTAGCCTTCCACTCTCATCAAAAAAGTTATTTTGCCTGATGAATGTCTGCGTTTATTACACGTCAGAGCATTACCCCATAGATTTTATAAAACTTTGTGGCTACGGTCAATAAAATACATTTCAGCGAAGAATTGATTTTGATGTAGACTCTCGGAACAAAGTGTCTGTCTCAAATTTTCTTTTTATAGAGGATACGTTGTATTAGACAGTAAAACCAATCTTCGCTGATAGGTGATGCATTTTTCAAGACAGCCCGTGCAGCACAATTAAATTTCAGGTTTCGTTACAGGAAAAACTAACTTCGTCTATACGAATATACGGGTTCGTCGTTTGTGTCTGACCGTTTTCGAAATTTCATATTATATTTAGCTTTAGAAAACGCCTCTATTTAAAGGTTCACTTCGACTTTGATTTTTTAAATTTGATTTTCTAGATTATGTCGCAGCGAGCGCGTCATGCAGCTACTGCTTCTCAAAACAAAACAAAGGCACCCCAACGAAAAATGCGCTCTACTCGTAACAATCCAATTCAAAAGAAAGTTTCTCACATAGCTCAGAAAAAGTCTCCCACACAACGTCGTTTAATAAAACGTTCATCTACAACTACGACAAATGCCAGTACAGCAACTGCAACATCTCCCTCCTTATTTGTACGCCAATCACGTAAAAAGGCATCCTTATCACCACAAACGAAACCTTCCAAAACTAAACGGCAGGCAGGTTTGAGAGCTGAAACATTACTAGTTTATTGTTCAAATGTTTTATCATCTTCAAACGAAGAGAAAAAAGACAGTAATAATGATGACACGTTATCAATAATTACAGCAACAATTAAAACGAACAAACGAAGACGAGCTAAATCAACAAATAGTAGTCCACAATCGAAAAATGTTAATGTAAAAAGAAAACAAAGATCAACGCCAAAAAAGGTATGCAGATTGTGTTTGAACGGCTTATCTTAAAGAACATTTTGGTTTAAGTAGGAGCATTTCTTAAACACAGCGCAAATCCAGCGTTAAAGTTTTCCTTGGTGACATTTGTTGTCATACTTTCCTCTTCTACGTACCTAGGGAAAAACCACTGCTGTCAAAAAGTTACAGCATGCACTTGTATTCTACCTGCTTATCAGGGCTATTTATTTCGTTTGGCTCTTTTAGCAAAAATCTCCCAGTGTAAAAAAATCAAATAAAAAACAAGCTCCACCACCTCTCACACCACCACAGCAACAAAAACGTGGACGAAGAAAAAAGAAATTAATCAGTACTGAAGAAAATGGAAGCGAAATACATGATACTGAATCTATGTATGAAGATCACAGTGATGTACAACAAGAAACAAAAACTGAGTTAAAGTCGCCGGTTTCTCGTCAGAGAAAAAAACCTGTGGAAACAACTGTTATTACTAAACCAAAAAGTAAACAAAGACAAACAATAAAAAATAAAACGAGAAAAAAAGTTGCACCCTTGGCATCGAAAACAATAGCGAAAGTTAATGATGAATTAAATATAAATACGCGAACAAAACGAGAAGCCAGTTTAAAAGCATCAGCAATGATCATGCAACAAAATGAAATTGAACGTTCACGTTTCAGTTATATATTAGCTGATACATTAGCAAATGCAACTGCAGTACAAGCAGCTGCTGCCAAACGTCGTCGTCGACAATCAACAAAAGATAACAGCCATCACGTTGAATCGACCACTCAGTCTGTTGAAGATATTGATGTGATTCCAGACACCGTCTCTCCAAAAAAAGAGCTTACATTACCCTCAACGATACCTACAGTCCAAACTGTTCTACCTCCTGTTCTCTCATCTACCTCCCTAAGAAAAACATCTCCGTCATCGTTGTCACTAAATAAATTCAAGTTTAGCGTGCCACACGTGCCCCCTGTGCCTCATAGACCATCGACAAATAATGCATCGACTAAAACAGAATGTGCGCAATCTACAGCCGATAGTAAAATAACAACAGCTAAAAAACAAACAAATCCCATTCTGTCCTCAAACGTTCAACCTGTGCAATCTTCATCTTCTTCATCTTCAACTACAGCAACATCTGTTTCTGCTACAAAATATCCAACATTAACCGAAACAATATTAGCTGAACATGATCGAATTCACGGCACAACACCACCTTATCATACAACGAGACGGGATAATGTTATTCGATGGACACAAGAATTACTCCAGTACAGTAATGAACCATTATTACCTCCATTTCCTAGTGAACAGGTTCCACTAGAATCATTTCACGTGCAATTACGCTCTACAACATCATCGGGAGATCAGCAACCGGCCGTCAGGATGAGCCAGAATAGTAATAGTAATCAGAGCACAACAAATCACAATAACGAGAATAATGGTGGACACACCGGATCGATTGCTGCATCAACGTCAACAACATTAGCCGGTACAGGAACCGCAACAACTGGTGGAAGTACAACAATAAATAATGACAATTCTAAATCATCAGCGAATCATATTAGTGCAGCTGAAAGAAAAAAATTAGCAACAGCAAGCAGCCGGCAAGCAGTCAATACTACTAATGCTACATCATCAAATATAGGTAAATTTTTCTTCTGTAAATAGAACTGTTTCTATAGGAGGTTTTCGTAATCGATTTAAAAGCTCTGTTGCAATTCGCTAGCATGTAACGATCTAAATCGAAATCCTTTTCTACATCTATTTTAGTTCAACCCTTGCCTCCACCAACGTCTTTACAGTCTATTCCAGCAGCTACCATCGCTGGTACCACGTCGTCATCTTCGCGTCCTCAGTCGTTTGATCACTCATTATCCAATCAATCATCAACCGTTCATCCCGAAAACAAGTTTTCTCTTCTCGCACCTCCGCTTGCACCGTCACCTTTACCACCAGGCGGCACAACAAGTTTACCAGTACAAAGTCCTTATACTACCGCAGCAACGTTTCCACTTGATTTACGTCAATTTTTTCCATTATTATCATGTTGGCAGTATCCGGGTAAGGAATGATTATTCATTTTCAAAAATTTACATATTTAATTAACAGACAGTTTATTTATATTGATACTTGAAAATCGGTTTTATTTCTGTATTTATGAGAAAACTTGAGAGAGAATGTATATTTTTAAGTGGCTATTTGCTTTTCGTGCAGCAAAACTATCGTTATCTTGTTATGCTAAAACAATTGCTGCTGTAGTGGTTTATATTTTAACAAAAAATGGTAACCAGAGTCATAACTTCTACTGTTGCTTATTTTTGTAATGTTTTTTTTCTGTAATACAAAAACAAACTGACAGAAATCAATTACACGGTGCCTTCTTATATATACTGCCCAACAATTTTAAAGTATAAGAATATGCTAACACAGAATGAATTTAATAGAAATGAAAGAGTACGTGTAAGTACTGTTGTTTTTTTTGTGTGTAGATGTATCTTATTTCTAGATACCAATATTGTTGTATATAAAATACGAAGGTTTATTTGCTTGTACGTATATAAATGTAAAGGGATTTGTAAACAGATGACACTAAATCGATTTTATGCCACATTTCACTCTCGGTTTAGCGAAAATTTATTATACCACTACTTAATGTACTTCTTTAGAAAATATTTACAAAAGAAAAATTAGTTCTCTTAATCTGCTAATCTTGAGAAGGTTTTCAACACCATGTGGTTGTTCCTTAACCGCACGAGGATCTCAAGGATAAAGTTTTATCTCTTCTCACGCATTGAGGAGAAAAAAAACCTGGCAACGTGACTAGCTAAATAATTCATGATACGTAAAAAGATTAAAATCCCATTGTTTATTTTTTTTTCTTATGTTTTTTATGCCTTCATTTTTTTTGGCTTACTAATTAGCATATTTATTTTCATTGTCTGGTTCTATTTATTTATTTTCTAACTCAAAAACAAAACAATTATCATTGTTTTTTCCATGTACTTTTAGCTTGGTCATTTCAACCACCACCATCTGTCACTGGTTGTATTATCCAAACACCGCCGCCTGTTCAAGTTGTACAACAGCCAACCGTGAATGTTGTTGTCAAATCTGCTGCATCATCGAAAACGAACTCGACTACTGCAGCATCATCATCTTTAACAACAGTCGATAAGAAACAAAAACACGATTTAATTGCTAAAGTAGTCAAAACAAAGCAGGTCAGTGACACAGTTCCAAAAACCGAAGTAAAGCCCAAAGGATTACCAAAAGATCATCATTATCATTTACACACCCATCATCATCATCATTACAATCACGCAACTGCAAAAAAGAAACAAACATTACCCAGCTCTTCTTCTCCAATGTCTGCTCCCACTAATACTTTACATAATATTCCATCACCATCGTTATTAAAATCTCCAAACACAACAACGATCACCACTGTACCCTTATCTCCGCAAAAACAATCGATTAAATCGACCATTATTAGAAATGAACAATTGGTTGAAACGAAAACAATTTTACCCTTAAGTGTTCATAATGTTGTAAGGAAACAACAACAGACAAAAAATATCTCGCATCACAATCTAATTAGTGATCAACAATCGATGCTCTCGTCTTCAACTTATTGTTCCTCGTCTCATCCATTTTCAATAAATGGTGATAATAACGAAGCTTTGAATTTTTCTATTAAACATTTATCCAAAGAAAAAACGACATTAGAACAACAAGACATATGTGTAAAAAAATCAGTATCACCTAAATCTCACACAACAACAATGGTAATCGGTAATTCTTCGAAATCTATTAGGTAAGGCATTCTTTCGTCCGTACTCTGTAGTTAACAATTAATGCTCGTATACGTAGCATTTAGTATCCTTTCGTACATGGTATATTTAATCTTTCTCTTGTTTGTTCTAGTATGAGCAATTATTTAAACGAACGACCCTTACCGTACACGATTAATTCAATAATATCTTCGTCTAATTCAACTGGAAGAGGGTTAATCAATTCAAACGCGTCTTTTTCATTTGATCAAATTCGAGCTGCACACTCTCATCATTCTTCGTCATTATTACACCAGCAATTAAAACATTTATCACCAATTAATTCGTCATCATCTCTTATCCAACCAATTATATCACCCGTTTCTAATATTCTCAGTGATTCATCAGCAAATAAAAAAATAGAACGACGTGGAAGAAAACGACGAAGTGTATCAGCAGCAAGTGCTATTATGACTATTGGAGGAAAGTTTATTTCAACAACATCGAAAATAACGACTACATCACCGGCAAAAAGTTCTCGTGCGACGCGTGCCAATTCATCGTCAACAACCATGACAACAACATCAACGCCAATTCGATTAAAATCAGCATGCGTTGTTGATTCTAATAGTAAACGTGCTCAGTCACCATCATCCGGCAGTACAAATATTGCTAAAAAACGTCGGAAATTTGTTAGTAAATGGATATTATCTGGAGAAGCAGAAATAAAATTAGTTCCTAAAAATGTAAGTATCGATTACTGTAAACGGTCACAATTGTTTCTCTATTTATTTATTCTATTTAGCCTGAAAAACCGCCTGTTTATCGTGAATGTTATCCGTCTATTCAACATAGAACACAAAACGATGTTATAAAATCGCAAGACTGCGTTTTATTACGTCCAGAAAATCATACAAAAGGAGCTACGCCTTATCTTGCTAAAGTCAAATGGTTCTGGGAGGAAAAAGAAACAGGTAACAGCGCGGAAGAATCATAAATCAAAGGTTGTTTTTTCATCTTTAATACATTTCATTTGTTTTCATATTAAATATATAATGAAAGAAAAATCACTATAATAAAATATTTAATACTAACCGACACGTATAGAGACGTTTCGCCTACTTGTATGTCATTATTCATACTAGCATATCTGAATAGAGTTTCTATCGATAATAGAAAGTAAAAATATGGTGAAGATTGTGACTTTTTTCTTTTAGCTGATTTAAATAGTATCTAATATTTTTTATTTTATAGTTCAAATCTGTTTAACATTTCATGTGTTTTTAGGTGAAATATTAATGTCACTGATATGGTATTATCATCCTGAACATACCGATTTACAACCACGTATTAAAGAACATTTTCAACCAAATGAAGTACTTGCATCGAAATATTGGGATACAGTGAGCGTTGCTTGCATAGAAGATAAATGTTATGTATTGACATTAAATGAATATTGTCGGTAAGTTAAATATATCTACTATCATTATCTTGTGTTAATAAAATGTATATTTTTCATTTAGATATCGTGTTCGAGAAAAATTAAATATTCCTCAACCATGGTTATTTGAGTCTGATACAATTAAACAATTAAAATCTATTTTAACATATTCTTCTTCCTCTTCCACTTCAAATATAATCACTAAAGTTGAACAAAAAGATACTGATATAGAAAGAGAAATACAATCAGAAACAACTGCTTGTCGTCTATTACCATCAAAAAGTGTGGATAATCAAAATATATTTTTTTGTCGATACGTTTATGATTTTCGACAAAAACGTATATTAAAAAATCCGAATATAAACAATAATTTGAGTATAACAAACAATAATGTATCATCAATGATTACAGCGAATAATATGAATGTAATTTCCAGTATTCTATGAATCTATGCTATGTGCTAATTATTTTTTTTAAGCAGTATTTCTCTTAGATAATCATAGCCCTTTTTTAAAATTGAAAAATAGATAATAATATTAATCTTATAATATCCTTAAAATAGCAATGTCTAAGCCTCTTCACAACTTTTGAATGAAACAAAATAGTTCAGTTTTTCCAGTTTTGTAATCTTGTTAGTGAAATTTGCTTTTGTATAGAAGCAAAGTTAAATATTCCTCAACCATGGTTATTTGAGTCTGATATAATTAAACAATTAAAATCTATCACACGTTCTTATCCCTTCTTCTTCTTCTTCTTCTTCGAATCAATCTCTTCTTTTTTCTTTTTCACTTGATCACTTTCATTCATAAGGTTTTTAACTGAGATTTAAATCGTAAGCTACCTATTGATTTTTAGTTGTTTTTTTCCATTTTTTCTCATTATTCTTTCTTTACTTCAGAAAAATTTGTATGTTCAACATCAAGAGAAAAGGGAGAAATTCTGTGATATACATGGTTGTTATTTTTAAACATTATTGTTGATATTGTTGTTATTAATTTATTTTTTGATTTTGATATTCTCTTTGCACAACAACCGATGTTTATCAAAATTTCTGATTTGGTATTTATCTCATCTACATATTTCTCACTGTGGAAATATCTCTTTTTCTTTTTCTTACATCTTATGGCGAAAACAAAAGGCAGCAGACAATTTCCTATTTAAATAGTTTTCTAATATGTTTACATATGTTTATTTCATTCGATTTTTTGTAAATTTGATTCTTGTACAGCATAGCACATAACTTTTTCTTCTTCTTCTTCTAAACCATATGTCATTTTTATTTTCATTTTTGTTTTTGTTCATAAAATATCGTGTTTGGAATATACGTACGTACACACGAGAAATTTTTTATTTGTAAGTGTATGTATTCTCTTGCTTTTCTCTGTGTTTTGCGTGTATGTTCTATTTTTATCCTATCTCTTGTTGATTTACTATTTAAATATACGCAGAAACAAATAGTTCATTTGATAATAAATAATACAGACTATTCGAAAATGCAGTACAGAACTGTGATGTTGCAGATTATTAACTAATCTTTTATCTTGTTTATTTTTAGATAAAAAACACTTTAGTGTTTGAAATATGTCAGCTAAAAGAGGTCGTGGTGGTGTCGGAGGTGGAAAATTCCGTATATCACTAGGTAACTTAAAACTTCTTAATTTAGTATCACTGATAGCAATGTGATTTGTTTTTTAGGTTTACCCGTTGGTGCTGTGATTAATTGTGCTGATAATACTGGTGCGAAAAACTTGTTTGTCATATCAGTGAAGGGTTTTGGAGCAAGATTAAATCGTTTGCCTGCAGCATGTGTCGGTGATATGATCATATCCACAGTGAAAAAGGGTAAACCCGATTTACGTAAAAAAGTTATGCCAGCCGTTGTTATTCGACAACGAAAACCATTTCGCCGAAAGGATGGTACATTCATTTATTTTGAAGATAATGCTGGCGTTATTGTTAATAACAAAGGAGAGATGAAAGGTAGATGCAGACAACTTTCTTGTAGAGATGACTGTTTTATTGACTTTTTGTTTTTACTATAGGATCAGCAATAACGGGACCAGTAGCCAAAGAATGTGCCGATCTTTGGCCACGTATTGCAGCGAACGCTCAATCAGTTGCTTAAACAGGGGGAAAACGAAAAGAATTTATTGTAATTTTTTACTATATTTTGTTTTTTCTTTATGTATGTGTAATAAAAAGAGCACATTGTTATTTATTTGACTTTTAATAAAAGCAACAGTTAAATAAAAGTAAATATCTAACTTTATACTGTATAGTTTGATGCGCGTCAGTCGTGTTTAAGTTCCAGAAGAGATGAAATTTTGTTTGAAAATGCTTATGTATCTTTCATGCCAAAATACTGTTTTGACTCACTAAATGGTCTAGCTCGTTTTAGAAATTGTTTCGAATTCGGTTGTCATATTATCATATCATATATATATATATATATATATGAATGTATATAGACTGGATACGTTTCACAAAAGATCTAAGATGAAAAACTTAATTTGATAGATATTTTAATCATTTTTTTTGTATTAGTAGAGTATTCGGACCAACGACTTAAATAAATTATTAAAGTAAATTCGACAAATGGTTAAAAACTCTTTCGAATTACTCGATGTTCAAAAATAACTCTAATTTTGTAAGCCAAATAGGTTTTGTCTGTTATAACGGTTAATAATTTTGTACGAGATCAGAGAGTACACAAGATCAGAAAAAAGTGGACAGGACAGAAAAATATTACTTCGGTATCTACCTCTACAAGTAGAAAAATAATGTTAGTTCAGTACGAATAATTTATTTCTAATGTAAATCTTAATTTAATTTTAGATTAGATTTGCGTACTTATGTCAGCAAAAAGAGGTCGTGGTGGTGTCGGAGGTGGAAAATTCCGTATATCACTAGGTAACTTAAAACTTCTTAATTTAGTATCACTGATAGCAATGTGATTTGTTTTTTAGGTTTACCCGTTGGTGCTGTGATTAATTGTGCTGATAATACTGGTGCGAAAAACTTGTTTGTCATATCAGTGAAGGGTTTTGGAGCAAGATTAAATCGTTTGCCTGCAGCATGTGTCGGTGATATGATCATATCCACAGTGAAAAAGGGTAAACCCGATTTACGTAAAAAAGTTATGCCAGCCGTTGTTATTCGACAACGAAAACCATTTCGCCGAAAGGATGGTACATTCATTTATTTTGAAGATAATGCTGGCGTTATTGTTAATAACAAAGGAGAGATGAAAGGTAGATGCAGACAACTTTCTTGTAGAGATGACTGTTTTATTGACTTTTTGTTTTTACTATAGGATCAGCAATAACGGGACCAGTAGCCAAAGAATGTGCCGATCTTTGGCCACGTATTGCAGCGAACGCTCAATCAGTTGCCTAATTATTTACTATTTTTTGTTGTTGTTATTTTTTCTTCTTGATGAGAAAAATAGTTTAATGTTCAAAAAAATAAAATTTTATAAACAGCAAGCATCTTTCATGTGTTTTCGACATAAAATAAATGATCTGAAATTTTAGCATAAAACACGAGTATCAGTACAATGAGATAGATAATTTTAATTTCATCAGGTTAAAAATGAATTAAATTGATGTTTATTAAATTTAAAATCGTTTAGTTTTAATAATGTCCTTGTTAATGCTGCTAGAACCGATAATGTTGAATGTGGATCATCAATTTCATGTTTCATATGGTCAAAGTGTTGTATTAATATTTGTTTACGTTCATCATAAGAATGATATTTGTCATATTCAATTTGGATTTGTTGTTTTAACCACATTCGTAATTTTTGTTGACGTGCATCATCAAGTAGACTTATATGTGTTAATAAGGTATCGGATGGATTTGTGGTTAACATTTTTGGTTGTGTACGACAACAATAAATGCAGGGTATGCGTGATTGATAATAGTCAATACGTTTTGTGCATAATTGAATATCACCAGGCGTTGTTGTATTTTGATTCATTTTTTTTTGTAGTTGCACTTGTTTTTGCTTTTGTTGTTCTTGTTGTTGTTGTTTTTTATAGCTAGGTGCTTGACATAACAAACGTTGTTTTGTTTTTGTTGTAAAATTCATTAGTCGAAATTGATTTTCAATTCGAGAAAAGCAAGTTGGTATCAAACCTGTATCATCCTCGGGTATGTCTGATGACATTGTTAAAATAGGATAACCATCTTTCAAGAAAATCGATTTTTTCCGTTGATATTCTTGGTAAGGTTGAATCTTTGCAATATCAAACCTGAGTTTAGTTAAATGTTGTCGAAATAAATGTTCACGATGTTTATGAAATCCATAAGCCTCTGAACGTTGACGGTTTAAAACATTATATTGTAATTGATATTGAGCATTTAAACGACGATTTGATATTTCCAATTTTTTTTGGGTAGACTGAGTTTGTTTACTATAGGTAAGACGATTGAAAGCTAAACACAAACACAAGAAAAAATGTCTGAATTGTCAATTTTAGAATTTTTAAAACAAAAAATAATTTTTTTCCTGCAGAGTTCATATCTAATAAAAAAAATGATTTCATTAGAAGAATAAAAAATTAAAGTTGATCGTATGCTAATCATAAATTTTAGTTTATGTAAAATATAGTTTTATTCCATTTATATTAATTAACATCAGCATTTTTCTTTATCAACAGTTTCTTACAATGATTAATTGTTAAATAATTAGTACAATCTAGTAATCGATTTCATACCTGTTTCTGGATCCATTTTTGTGGTGTTGAATAAAGGGGATTTATGATCTGTTGTCGATATTATATTATTGACATTTTTTTTTTTATTATTTTATGGAGACAAATTTAACAATATGCAGATGTTGCATTGTGTGCAAGTAATATAATTTTTTTTTCTTTTTCAATTTTTAAAAGTATATGTTATTATGTCTCCATTAACAAAAATGAAAAAGGAAATTGTTGAATTGATAATAGACTTTGATATACAATTAACCGTATGAAGAACGAAAAAAACATTTAAACTAGACAACAGATGGATAGCGGATTTTTATTGTTTTTTAAGGAATCAACATGATAAACTGATAGGCATTATACCGTTATGATAAATATTATCATAACAATACTGATTTCAATCGAGTAATATCCAATTTATTCGAATTTAAAAGGGAAAAAATACCACCATTCGATACCGATTTGGTTGCTGAAAGGTGCTGTTGGAGAGTTCTGCTTTTGCAAAATCCAAGGTAGTAACATATAATCCTAAATTGTACTTTTTTCTTCATTTTTTTTGACTATCTACTTTCGATGTTTAATAAACAACTACTTTATTGATTTAGTTTAATAGAAAAAACATGTATAAAATAATTTTGATAGAATTTCGCTTTTAATGGAGACATCGTTGAAAGCGGAGAAAATGTTGATATATCTATTTTCTGTACTATAATGGGTTTTAGAATAACTTGGCAAATACTTTTCTCTATGGTTGTATGTTTTATTGTGAAACTATGGATAGCAATCATTCGTGTTTACTTATGAGCTCATTCTCTTTTGTAAGATACTTATGTTAAGCTTTCTTTTGTGAACTATAACATGAAAAAGAAATATATAGATCCACAACAGGAGCTAGTTAAGTTGTAAACTTTTCAAGTATCGATATGAAACTGACAGCTCTATTTCCCTGTAGAAACCCTTTTGTCCCTTTGTACTCTATCTCGTTACCATCCACAAGTAAACGGTTCGAGTGTGTGAAATATTTCATTTACGCCCCATTTATAAAAGAATTATAACTCTCCTTTCATTGTCCTCGTTCAATCATTTTCCGATTGTCTCTTTCTCTCTATCCAATCTTTCCATTATTTATTATGTTTTGTATAACACTCGTCCAATTCTTAGTTTTTTAACAAATAAAGTTTGTAAACACTGCTCGAAACTAGTGGGTAAGCCTAATATTAAAAATCCTTCTTGAGACAGTAGACAATTTGGACTTGTGATGTGGACATCAGAACTTTTTTCCCGAAGAAACCTTTTTTCATATATCATTATCATTTTTCAATTATCTCAAAATCATGTAAAAGCAAAAAATAAACATTTTCAAAAGATAGCCATAGGAAATCAAAGCGACAAATTTTGATTGAGATTTTCTCATTCAAAACCTATTACTTTGTTCATAGTTCAATGCAGTATCATGTGCTGATTGCAAATATACCATTTATTTTCATTAAAAAATGCTTATTTTGCAGAATAAACTAGTTTTTATGTGAAAAGCTTTGTATTTAAAAATTTACACTGAAAGAACGCTAGTTTCTTATATACTAAAAAGATTATTTTTCTCGAGAAACAGTGATTAAAGAATCGAAGTTCATAGTCCATTATAGGAAATTAATAAAAACACTATTATGTTTTGACAATATATCCGCATGTCCTTGAGCCATCCGCCATCTTGTATTTTTATGACATGACAACAATAATGGTATATTTCAGAACAGTGAAAAATGCGTCCCTAAAAATAGTGTTTTTTTCCACTTGCAAATTTATCTTAGGCCTGTCTCTTTGTCACACAGTTCGGTTGACTTGTATTTCTGTCTTTAATTTCTTTTTTCGAACGCACTATTCTCCAAAATTCTTCTTGTTAGTCCCTTGTTATTTCTCATTTATGAAATTATTTCCTCTTTGATTCTTATATTGACTTATTTAACTTCAAATGAACGAAAGATTAAAAAATTTTGTTTCGTATTTTTTCATACTTTTAGACAGAATGTCATCGTTGTTTGATAGTCTTAGTGCAAGTGAAAAAACTTCGATAGTTATCGATATTGGTCATGCATACACAAAGTATGATATATTATTGTTCTTAGCGAAAAAACAAAAGACAAAATTAATTTTATATATTTGATCTATTTAGATGTGGTTTTGCTGGTAGTTCATCGCCACGTCATATAATTCCAACAAGTGTTTTAGTCAATGAAAAGGTAATTATGATTTATGATTATAACAAAAAAATAAATAAAAAAAATAATAACGAAACGTATTTATTGTTATTTTAGGAACAACATATATTTGATAATCAATCTGATTTGGGTTTATTACGTGAACAATTAACAGAATTTATTCGACTTATTTATTACAAGTAATTACCATTGAATAGAAGAGATTACTAGATCTATTTATAAAAATCATTTATATTTAGATATATCATAGCTAATTGTCGTGATAGACGTGTTGTATTAGTTGAATCCGTTATTACACCAACAAAAATACGCCATTTACTCACAGATATATTTCTAAAACAATTTGAAGTATGTTGTTAAAACAAGCATTATATAATTGTCAAAAAACTTATTTTTTGTTTTTTATTCTCAGGCATCCTCATTAGCATTTGTTCCATCACATTTAGCTGCCACATTTACATTAGGTCGTGCTACAGCATTAGTTCTAGATGTTGGATATGCGGAAGCACAAGTAATGCCAGTATCCTTCTGAAAATAAGCTTTCTTTTTGCTTTTCTTCCGTGGCTGTTTAATTTCCATAACTTTTGACGGTAGCTGAAGGTGTACCATTAGCTGTACAATTTGATAGTTTACCATACGCTGGAAAAGCAATCCACGGGTAATTTTATTGTCATTGTGTTCAAGTAAAAAAGTGTTGTTTATTGATGTTTTTGTTATCAGTCGTATACAGCAATTATTAGAACAACATGCATCTGTGACAAAAAATGGAAAGAAACAGTTGTTTAAAGATATCAATTTAAAATTAGATCAAGAAATTTTGGAAGATATTAAAGGTAGTAGATATTTAGTTCATTCCTCAAAAATAATATTCCATTTGTTTTAATTTTTAGTTCGTTGTTGTTTTGTTTCACCATTTGAAAGAGCACAAATATATGCAGAAAATGATTTATTATCCCCAGAAAAACAACGAAAAAATGATGATGTAAATATCTTGTGAAAAACTGTTAAAAGTATATTTGATTTTCATGTGAAATAAAACTGACAATATTATTTATACTTTTAGGTTTTTAAGTCAGCTGGAAATGTTGATTATCCCGTTGTATCAGATATGATTATTCACATACCGGGTATTGTTAGGTTAGAACTTAGAGTTTCAATCATATATTTGGCTATTTTGATTTTTACATTTTAATTTTAGAGAATTAGCATGTGAAGTGTTATTTGAACAAGATATTGATGGAAAATCAATTGCCACATTATTATTAGACTCATTAGTTCAAGTATATAGAGTTGTTTATCATTTACTTTAATTATTATTAATTGTTGTTTTTCCTTTCAGTCCGCATTAGATATTCGTCGACAATTAGCCGATAATATATTGATCATTGGTGGTACGGCGATGATGCCGGGCTTTTTACATCGTTTGAATTCTGAATTAATACATCTCGCTAACGTATCAACATATAACAAAAAATTAGCGATCAAAACATTTCATTATCATTCACCACCAGGTCAATTAAACTACGTAACCTGGTTAGGAGGTATGTTATAATGATAAGAGTTTTTTTTCTCCTATTTACTTCTTTGTATTCTTTCAGGATCATTCTTCGGTGCGTTAGATACACTTGAATCTCAATCGATCATACGTGAGAAATATTTAGAGAATGGAATTGTACCTGACTGGTTCACTGGTGAACGAGCTGGATAAACGATCATTTTTACTCTATTTTTCAATTTCGACGGTGTGTGTTGTTATTTTTTGTATAGACGGCGTACGTTTTGTTATTATATTTATATATTTTCATTGCAATATAATGGAGAGGTTTGATTTCTTAATTATTTCGTGAATGATGATGATGTTTTAATTGATCTCAATTTTATTCGGTATTTTTATGACAAACTAGCTGATTACCCTCGATCCTACATGATATTTTTCAGTTATTTCTCCTTCTACCAAGAAAACCATCAACGTGCCAGTTTATCATTACTCTTCTAAGAGAATTTCAGCCGTTTGGATCCAATTTTCTGAAGCAGGAAGAAATTTTTGGCACAAAAGTTTACTTCGTCTAATAATTAAAATGATTGAATGACTTAGCAGTTTCTACGTATGTCTACTGGATGAGTCCAAAAAATTTCGACATGTTTAACAGACGTCTGTTAGTTTAAACAATCGGTTTCGTATATTTTTCGTCCTATCCTCGAACGTATTTAAAGATAAATATCGCCGAACAGCCAAGTTGACATCAGACTTCCATTTTCAAAGTTTTGTTTTCTTTACATTTACATGTTATTTGTAAAAAAAAGCCGCCCTGTTCTTCGTCGAATGAATGAAAGGCCTTTTTACCGAATACTTAGCTCTTGCATTAAGTATAGTCATACAGCCAACTCACGCTTATTTTGAGTTTTCCCATTCGTAGAATCCACGTATCACACAACTAACACAATACGAAAAAGTTTCCTCGTTTTGGTTATACATCAATTGAGAGTGAAATCAAAACTGGTCTTTATCCGATACAAATACAACATATTGATTTGCTCAAGTCCGTTCGCATCACCACATCTCTGTAATGATAAAACAAGATATTTTTACAACGGATATGATATTTTTTTAATCATTTATATTCCAGTAATACAAGTGACACTTAGTGCGCGATAATTTCCGTGACATTGCTGATTGAACAATATTTTGTAGAGAATTGTTCGCTCTACAACATTAGCCATTCCAGTTCTTAGTCACTCAAAGTTATAGTGATTTTACTTTACTTTTAGAATCTAAAAATTTAGATTACACTGATAGACTGTCCCTTGAAACTAAAGATACGAGACTTATTTGCTTCATCGTCAGTTCATTCGGAGACACTGAATACGAAGATAACTTTTGTACAAAAAAAAAGCTTTTCATCTACTGTGACCAGTTTTGTTCTTGATAGCCACTCCCATCTGTAGGCAAACATCTCCTTTTCTTGCCGCCTACTGCTCATTAACTTATATGTGTTGTTCTGTTAAAGTAAGATGTCGACAGTTTACACACAAGTTCTATTTTATGCGAAAAGAGAAATATCACTTCTTAGATTCCTCCAATCTACCTGTCTGATGTATTCTGATCATGTGTCAAAACTCTATCTCGTAAGACATTTTTAGTCTATAGATATTTGGAAGATCGACATGGAATCAACATCAATTCATACTGTTCATCAGTTTCAAGATTTCTATAAAGTAAAATTTATCAGCGCGTCGGATCTCAAGAAAACTAGATTCAAAATAAACAAAAAAAAATGTTTTTTTATTTCGCCATTAAATGCTTATTAAAAAAACACACCTTTGTTTGAATTTTCAGTTGAAAAACCATCGCTTTCGGTAAAATTAGATTATAGTTGATGTATAACATTTCCTAAAAGTGGCAAAAATTCTGTTGCCTTATCCATGCACAATGCATAATCCTGATGATATCAGTTCGTTGCTAGACAGCATTGTATAAATGACAAAGTATACCAGCATCCAGCAATATTCTCTGGCTTGTGTCGTTGTTTTTTCGTCTTAGTGTCTGTTTACTTATCGCCTTTTTGCTTTCCATGTAGAACTAGTATTGCATCTTAGTTAGTTTTCCTAAATTGCTGGTGAAGCAAAGAGCCGATTCCAAAACTGAAAGAGAAAAAGCTGAAAAAGTGACGACGGTCGACTTTTCCAATTGATCTCTTTATTTTCTTATCCTTCTTCATTACAATCAATGAGAGACTCCTTTTTCAGAAAATAAATATTGTATTTGTTAAAAGAAACAGCTATTTTTTTCTTAATCTCAACAATGAGTTGCTGTCAGATGTGTGAAAACTTTCTATGCGTAAAAAATGGTCATTTACTAATGAGTTTCTTAGCTTTTATATTTATCTGTCAACTGTCACTTTGATTTACAGACATCAACAAAAAGATTTTAATACATGTTTCCAAGGAAAAAGCAAAAAAGAATGGCTCGACGGTGGCTGGCGTCCTTCAAAATTTCCACTTTAGGCGGTGGTTCAACCGATCGAACTACATCTCTAGTTCCGATAGTAGTGTAGGATAGTGGATCAACGTATGATTCAAAGACATAGATCTATTATTAGATAAATCTGTCAAGATATTCAGAAAGCAGACAAAATACACGAAAATGAATATGGTTCATGGTACGCCTATATATAATAGTATGAGTTATATATAGTACATGAATCGGCAAAACAAATTGGTGATTTCATCGGCAACACATCTTGTCTGCGTCAAAAGATAAACTTAAAGATTGTTGTCTAAAATGGCAAGAGACAAGATAAGGATGTTGTAAGAATGTGGATAAGACTAAGACGAGTGTGTGTTAAAACAATACACTACGAACAAGATGATAAGTGTTTATTATTATTTTAATGCATTAAGTTAAAAACTTTTTGGCATCAGTGATTTGTTTCACAATCGGTTATACTGTATAAGATTCACGGCTATTTTTGATTTTTTCACTTCAGATTTTCCTTCTAGTGGGAGATGTGTCGAGACAGTGCAGCACGGCTATCATGACTATGCCCCACTGGCAAAAAACCAGGTGCGCATTCAAATGTGACACTGTACTCACAGAACAGCATCGGCATAGCATTGATGCACATCCGCAATGTCAGAAACTTTTTCAGAATTCGTTATCGACATTGTTTTTATGCGTAAATCACGACATCGAGATTAATCAATGCAGCATTGGTTCACCACGTGGCTTTGATATCTATTTAGTACGTTCCACTCACGCGCATACAAGTACCGGCTCCAAAAACTTGGTACTCGCCCAGTATTGATTCTTTCACGTAAATGACATGCATTTCTGGATGTGCAAGGTAAGACACGAGTACCTAGCGTCAACTTGAATCGGATTATCAGCTTAAATTATTCATTTACAAACATTCATGTCTACTTGTTCACATTCACACCTCTGTCAATGGTTTTTCTTCACAAACAGTTTTTTTTCTTTTTTCTGTTCAACTATTGGAAGAGACTGGAATAAACCTTCCTCAGTCAGTTATTAGTTTTTCTCCTTAAGCGTCTTTCAAGAAGACACTAGCTTATTCTAGTCATAATAAACTCGTGTTAGTTGTTCTCTTAACGTTATTTTATTTATGTTTATTTTCACCGTTTCTTTATCTCTATATTGCATACTCTATTTTCTTTTGTTTATTTCTGTTATTTCTTTTTCTTTTTCTCTATTTCATTTTTGTAGTTTGGCTCGAGTCATTGATATTACAGGTCAGTGATGACTGTCACTTTTCGTGAAAAAACTAGTCTTAATCTTACCTCTTACTTTTTTCGGTTTATTTAAAGCATTGATATAAAGTTTTGATATTAGCGGCCGTTTTTGTTCAAAAGCCTTTGGGTGAACTTGACATGACGTTTCATAGTCATCAATGTTTGATTTAAGCTGTCTTTTATCAAAGAAGAAAGAAAGAACCAAATACACAACCAAACTAATTCGTCCAAGTTTGTCTTCAACGTTTTTTTATCATTGATATCATAAAATTCACAAAGGACGGCTTCCATATGATTTACATACAAAACCTAGACGTTATTTATACCAGAACTTTCTAAATTTTTATGCTTTTGTCTGAGATATTTTTATTTTAAACCTTGTCGCTGAGGATGCGACTAGTGATGTCATCAGATAATATCTCAATAACATTATTTAGTCAAGAAGAAGTATAAGGAATGAAATGTTTAGACTTTTCTTAATTTCAAAATTTTATGCAATATATTGCTTAAACCTATAGGTTTAAGGATTTTTAAACTCTTAGGGCTCTATGGAGATAGTACAATCAATCCACTTAGGGATCGGATAACAAATCAAAAGTTATCCGGTCAATCAAATAAGGCAGTATTATTTTTTGAGATTTTCAGTAATTTTCTTTCCATGCATTCATTTGCAGGCAGCTTACAAATAGGATCAAGTTAGGCACTAGAGCTTTCTCTATTGGTTCTCTAAGATAAAATTAATGGATGACTCATTTACACATGCGCTGCATTGAACGAATGTTATTTTTGCACGTAACTTAAGTTATGTTGAAAAAAATCCCGCTGAAAGGCAACAGTTTAATCAAAATTTAAAGTGTGTGTGCATTCTCTTTTATTCAGAGTGTAAACAGATCGTATATTTCTGTTCTGCTGGTTCACTGTGTCCTTAGTTTACATAATACGAGTTCTCTTTATCATTAACAATACTAGATAAGAAAAATTGACAAGTAAGGGTATGCAACGGGCATGTTTGAACAGTAAAAGGAATACAGACGTTTCACTAATGATAGGCCCAGTAAATGTGTTGAAATTAACTCTTGTCAACTCTCAATGTGGCTGATTGTTTAGCTGACTAATAAATATAGATTAAACTAATTGTTTTTACTTTGTTTTTCGTCTTTTTACCTTTTCAATAGTGTGTTCGTGTGAATGATTCTAATGTCTCTCCGTCTTCATTTCCTTCGTCTTCTGGGGCCTGTTTCTTAAAAAAACTTAAGTAGAAAATCTGACTTAAGTCAAACTTAAGTCCAAAAAAGTCTTTGTCTTTTTTAACTTAAGTAAGATTTTCTACTTAAGTTTTTTTAAGAAACAGGCCCCTGACCTCATGCCAGTAAGAGTTTTGGGGTTCCCTTTTCTTACAATTTCTTTTAGTTTGTGTGTAATTAACTATATCTAAATAATTTTCTTCTGTTTGCAGTCTCGATGTTCGTGTTTCGTACGATCTATGGTGAGCATACCAGAAACATCGATTTTGCTCGTTGAGGCAGGTCGGGAGTATTGTGTTGTACCTTTCGATTAGCACTGTAAGTCGGTCGACGTCAAATTTTTCTTTTTCTTATATTCTTAAAATTAGTTGTTGTTGCACTTTCAATAATATTTCATTTTTTCGTACTATTCTTGATTCTATAAATAAAGTGCTTCACATGTTCTCATCGTATATATTTCAGACTTGTACTCTGTTTTAGCATTTGTCTTTGTCGCCAGGGTATTTCAAGTACTCGAAAAAGACACTTTCGATGAGCCGAGGGCTCAGAAGTCCCGAGCATCTCTGTTCGATGCCTTGAAATTTTTCTCGAGGGCTCGAAACCGATGATCCCTCGAACACTTATATCGAGGATCCGAAGTCGCACTTTTCGAAGGATCGAGCCCTCGATGAGAGCCCATTTTCGAGTACTCGTCGCATCCCTCGAATGACTTTTCTCGTGTACATGGGTTGTTCATTGTCTACACTGTACATTACTTTAAACATGCTCTGCAAGAATATTTTATAGCAAGCAACAGATCAGTTTGCTATATCCTTCATAATGTTCGTGTTTAGTTAAGAAAGCGTTTAGGTTTTTATTACTTAGCAACGGCAGATAACTAACTCTGATAATTCAGCTTAATATATGAATCAAATGCAAAATGTACCGCTTCATCAAAGTAGGTCTCACGATCAGAAAAAATGAGACAGTTATTCTCTATCCTCTTCAAGTTTTTTATTTCTGTAACTGCCTGTTTAACGATTGTCTCGTTCCTTGTAAAAATTGTAAAAAGATCTATCTGTTTTAAGATAATTATTCCAATCAATTATACAATTGTCGTCAGATAAAATAATGTTAAATAACGGTGAGTGTTAACAAATATTTCTTATTTATTCAACTATAGTTTTCATTTTCACAGATGTAAAAGAACAATCATTTGAAGAAACTGATCTTGTTTGGGCAAAATATATGTCTCATCCATATTGGCCCGCCATGGTGTACAATGAAAATCATTCGATTTCAAGAGTATCAGGTGAATGTGAATTATTAATTACTTTCTTGATAAAATGTGTTTTTCTCGGAAATTTTAAATTAACAATTAAGATTACAAAAGAGAGGTTATATATTTGTTTTAAATCTTTGAAATATTTTAATCACTTCTTCTAGGTAGAAGAACTCGAGAATCATTTCATGTGTACTTTTTTGGCGAAGTCATAACTCATGCATGGTAAATGGTTTACTCTTCTTTAATAGTTAATATTTATTTTTAACTTGATTTCTAGGGTATCGATAAGTTCATTGTTCAAATATTCTAGTATTAAAGAATTTAAAGAACGTTTAGTATATTTTCAATCACAAGTGAATATTACAAACTGATTGTTCAATGAATGCACTGGTTTGTTTGTTTTTCATATTCATTTAGGCAAAAACAAAGAAAGAAAGACAACAATATGATCCACCAAGCATATCCGCTTCGCAGCTAGAATCATATCAAAAAGCTGTTAACCAAGCGAATAAATTTAATGATTTAGAGTCAGATGAACGTATTAAACAATTATCAGAATTAATGAATGAAGCTCAAACAGTTTATTCAATGTTTAACACGAATTATAAAAAAATAAAAACAGGTAAGCGTGTTGAAAAAGGTATGTTTATATAAGTTTGTTCAATATTTTCAAAAATTCTAGATTCTGATTGTGAAAATATCGAAGAACTTTTTGAAGTTACCGATCAAATAATGACTACACCATCAGTCAAAAGAATATTTGAAAACGACAATGATAAATCATTAAACAAGAAAGTGATGAAAACGTCTGTCAAACAAGAACTAAAAGCACCACACGTGGTAAGAAAATAATTAGTAGACTATTCTGAAAGTTTCTCAACACCAAATCAACCATGAGTAAACTCTTATCTAACAATCACTGACTAATTATTTGAAGAGTATTTATCAGTAGAAAAGAAAAACATGCAGTTAACTTACATATTCTCTCTCGCTTTGATTAAATTCGTTTTCAGTTTTTGATCTATATATATCAGAGAAAAAGTTCGTCTCATTGTCCAATCAATCTCTATCATGAGAAAAATAGTTGTAAAAAGTTCTGTCAAAATATGAAACGTTTTGACAGGAACAGACTTCTCTTTGAATAAACGTTTTTTCTAGTACAATAGTTGAGTGCGACATAACTGTTAAAAGTAAAAGATAATATGTTTCATTTTTCCAGTTATCACCAAGCAGTGACACAAGTTTATCAAGTTCATTGTCATCATTCACATTTGAAACAACATCTAGTTTAACTTGTCCATCGATTACATTTGTTGAAGAAAGTTTAATATTAGATGCTATTAATCGAAAATCTGATGGTACATTTTTTGGTTCAAAATCAATTGCTGAACAAACATATGCACATATGGTGAAAGTTAATAATAAGAATCGTACATTACCAATTAGTGAATTTTGGTTTTATCTCTTTGTTTATCATCATTTACCATCGTTATTTAAAAATCATCCAAATTGGTTAGTGGAACTTGAAACAGATGATCATGTATCATCATTATCGGTCTCTGATCAACATGAACAACATCGACGACAATTAATTACATTAATGAAAAGTTACCAAAATGAATAATACTAGTTGATCGAAAAGCTTTTTTTTTTCTAAAGCATCTACTTCCTAAACTATATATTTTTTTTTGAGTCATGTTTTTCGTTTATATGTAAGAAAATACAAAAAACGTTTTGACTGTGCCCTTTAGCTGTAGTGTTTTAGTTTTTTTTGAAACTAAAAATACTAGTTAATTCTTTTGTGAGAAAACTTTATTTTTGTTAAAGCTATTTTCACTTGTTTCTTAATCCTCTTTTATTCTATGATTGTTTTATTATAAAAGAAAATATACCATTATTTTTTCTTCAGATATATAGAACGATGGCTGACATTGTAAGTTTTGTTACCATTTTTCTATCTGTGTTTATGTATCGTTGTTTTTTTCTTTCTTTCTGTTGTATGCAAGTGATGAACATTTTTATTCAAACGTTATTGTTAGTTGAAAAGTGTCTCTAGCTTTTTGAAATAACTTTGTTATTAGAGACAATGAAAAATTTTGTTGAATGAAAAAAAATGTAGTTTTGAAAGGGATTCTTGATACAATAATATTGATCCTAGTTGTGAGAGGAATGATTGTATATGTTGATTTGCGGCATATTTGGCCTAAAATTTACATTCCCTCACACGTCTATCTGTTAGATGAGATGAAGAAGATGCATCTGTGTGCTCTTCATTTTCTTAAGTTCACTCTATGTATTAATGTATCTATTTTAATTATTTTCGTGCTACATTTCATTTATTCAACATCATATCGATATATATCATAGACAGTTTTTACACTCGTTTTGATCTAACCGCGAAATATCGTATACTTTAGATGAAGGATACTTGTGTTAGGTAAGAATGTCATGTGATTATAATAATAATTCTCGTGACACTAACAGTGGTAATATAAACGACAAATTATCAAATGAATCCATCCCATTTTCAATACCAGATGAGAGATGGGCACCATTAAATAAACAGACATTTCAAACATTTTTTGATAGTGATGGACGTTTAGTTAAAGAACATGAATTTCGTAAAGCTGTTTTCAAAGGTGGCCTCATACAAGAATTGCGAGCAGAAGCATGGAAATATTTATTTTTATTTTATCCACCATTGATTTCTGCGCGTGAACAACAAACGATTGAAACAGAACGACAGTTACGTTACCAATTGATGTGTGAACGATGTTATAAAGAAATGCCTGAAAAATTACGATTATCTGTCATTCATTCATCCACCACATATCCAAATGTACCACCAACAAACGCCTATTGTCTTATTCAACAAAGGATTGAAGCATATAAACATAAATTTCAATGGAATGATATGAATGAACATATTCAATTGATTCTAAAAGATATACCAAGAACAGATCGCTGTTCATCTATTAATAATCATAATCGGTTAACACGTTTGCTAATTACATTTGTTTGTTATCATCCATCTATTGGCTATGCTCAGGGTATGAACGATATGGCACAATGTTTTCTTAACGTTTTTACGTCTAATGAACATGAAGCATATTGGTGTTTTTCCTATTATATCACACAAGCAGCCGAACATTTTACTGAACAAGGTAATTTTTCACATTGTATTTCTTTTTTTTATTCAACTGCATTCCTTTCCATTTTTAGGTATGGGTACGAAAATAAAACTGTTACCGAAACTTGTGGAAAAAATTGATAAGGTATTATTTCAACGAATTTGTGAATTAAATGTTGAATTATGGACATTTTGTCATCGCTGGTTATTTTTATGTTTTCGTCGTGAATTTATTGAGGAAGAAGATACATTATTATGTTTCGAAGTTGTTTGTAGTCATTTTTTAGAAACAAATTCATTGATGTCTGACCGTCTGTTACACGACTATCAATTGAGACGATCAGAAATTGAAGGAATTTGTATGACAACAAAAACTAAAAGTAATGACGAACAGTACTATTGTACATTTGACTATTTTGTCTGTATAGCAATGATTGAATTACTACGCTCATGTTTATTTGACTCTGCCGATGAATTAGAAGCTATGGAATTGATACAAAAACATCAAAAAACATTAAATGTTAATCAAGTACTTAATCTAGCTGAGAAATTATTCAAAGATTATTGTCAAATATTAACGACAAGCACTACGGAAACAACAGTGGATTTATCACCTGTTGAACAATCCTATCAATTAATCGAAGTAGGTGATGATATTATTCGAAAAAGTGTACCAAAAAATAAGAAGTCAACGATCAAATCGTGATGATGCATTTTTCTGTAGATCTAGTCGTTTTCTTTTTTGTTATGTGCAATATTTTTTTCAAAATAACAGTGAAATTAAAACACCGTACTACTGTGATCCTATGCATAAGTATCCTTTCTAATAATTGAAGTAACAGATTTTTCTATCATTTTCTCGAAATAAAAATGTAAGAATTTATTCCAACATTGTAAGTTGTCAATTTTTTTTGAAACTATTTATTGTAGTTTGTTCCATCATTTTCAAGAAAAAATTCATCTTACTGTATCACCTTATTTAAATTTGTTAATTTTATAGATAAATTCCTTAGGAATGAATGCCTCCTTTTGGTTTAGAATTATTCCAAGAGGATTATTTCAGATTTATTGTATATTACAGCTTTCTATTTGTTCAATCTGATTTGGATCATTTAGCAGGCTTTATGAAACCGTAACTAAAAATAACAAGTTTAAAATAAGTGCTTATATATAGTATGTTGTTACGTAAAATAGAACGATGAATTCAAAAAATATCACAAAAAATATCACCGAAGTTTGACGGCTCCGAATGAATAAGGTGATTTCTCATAAGCCGGTATAGACTATGAATCTGAACTCTGTTATCTCTTTTGTTCCTTTTTTCTTGTTTTTCTGTAGTTAAACTATAATTTAAGCCTCAGGTTCGATTGTATAAAACATAACCAATGGAAGAAAAGCGTTAAAAGATCATATGTAGGTGAACAAAAAAAGACTCTGTTGGAGACATGTACGATATGCAAAGGAAAAAATTAGAAGGATGAGAATGGAATAGAATGTACCCACAGAACTTGATTATTTGTTCCTAGAAAGGGAGGTTTGATTTTGATATTACGCATTATTTTCTATTTTGTTCTTATTTGGACTATTCATAGAAATTATTTTGACTGAGACTAAGACTAAGGCTGTTTTATTCACGAAAAGTGAGAGTCATCAAAGGTCACCGGCCTGTAATAACAATGACTCAAGCCAAACAACACAAAAAGAGTAATAAATAAAGAGTAATTGACATCAATTACTAAAACAGAAGATTTGGCAGAACATCTCGAATATTAGCCACCATTACTTCCAATTTGTTACTCGTAGTATATACCTGACTGATTCTTATTCATTTTTTCTCTACTTTCACATCATCTTTGGCTTGTCTTCTGTCTTTCAAAAGTAAACGCTCACATAAAAGTCAAATGCTTTTGACACAATTTTTCATAGTTCAGGGACACAATTTTTTAATACTCAATAGTAGTCTCATACAAAATTATTGTTTGCTCATTTCGGTGCTATGCCAATAAGCTCCCTCGATAAACCTATAACGAGTATCAAATATTTTTATATTCTTCATCTCTATTGAGTATATACATTTTTTTTCCAAAATAAGAGAGTAGCAGTTATCGATGGCGACAGCACAGCGATTTAACTTGGTTTTTTTGTCGAAGGAAAAACGGCTGGTACGTCTGACGAAGAGCAGTACTTCGAAGGCATAATAGACATAACTGTGTTATTCCTTTTATTTTAAACACACAATTATGGCTGTTCATTGGCATCCCAAAGGATGATTTATACTTTCTTCTCAGAAACAAAAGCGCACAATATTATGAGGTCATTCAAGCCAACAAACTATCTAACCGTCATTTAGCTCATTTAATTTTGTCTGATAAAAAAATAATATGTTGTTTTTAAGTACATAAATTGTGTATATTTTTCCTTATCTTCATAAAATACACATTCCAATAAATACCAAATTAGTCTGTGGACAGATTTACTAATTGATGCATAGAAATGAATAGAATTTCATGTTCACTTTATTAATATCTGTGATATTTCGACCTAGCGGTCATTATCAAACATAACCAAAAAGTATTCATACAGGTTCGTTTATATATGTTTAAAAAAGAAAACAAAAGAAAATAAAACTCTTTTTAAGCTTAAGGAAGCTTTAGATCGGAAAATCGAATCAGACTTTATATGTACAAAATTTTATGGGCTATCTAATTAGCGAAAAAAACTCATTTGTTTTCGATTCATGCTTGCCAAATTAAATTAACATCAATTAAACTTGGAACACTATACCATTGTAACTCTTGGTCTTTAAAACATAAAAAAACAAAAATGATGAACTTATGTTAAGTATGACACTAAATTCCAAAACGTTTTATTGAGAATGGTTGACGGAAGCTTCTCGGTTTTTTGAAATAAATACATTTTACATTTCATAGCGATGCCATCATTTCCACAATAATGTATTTATCTCAAAAATCACGAATTTCTTGAAAAAACTGAGAACGACAAAGAGGTTCTAATTAGAATCTCTATTTAATCTAAAATGTTAAATACTTATCCAATTACTGATGTTTCTTCCTGTAATATTTGTTTATTTTTTCTTGTTCTATTGTTTTCTTCATAAAAGTTATATTCACAACATTAACGTTGTTGTAATGAAAACACAGAAGTTTATACCCTGATTTCTTCGTCAATCAGGGCTTGCAAAAATATGCGTGTATAAGCCTCTAAAATCATGTTTGAACTCGTTATAAAAGAACCAGCGGTTTCCTCACATTTTACCTTGTGACATTCCTCAGGTTATCCTTTGGCATGTGTACTCTAACGATCGGCGAGGTTGCTATTCTTTCTAGGGTGCCGTGAACTAATCCGAGAGTTAAAAAATGCGCAAAATGATCATCCCTACTTGACGATTAAGGTGATAGATTCCTCTGTTTTGCATCTGATTTCTTTGAACGTTTCGAAAAAAGCTAATTAATGTTTAGCTTGTGATTAACAACCTTATTGGCAACATTTATTTTCTTTTTCTTTGTTACTCTTCCTCTTTCAACGTTAACTGAAACCACTGAGTGCCAGTCCTGGGGCCCCTGGAAATCAGATGCCACGTCCAAATCACTCAAAATCAAAGTCTCGGTTGGCTTCCATTATGAAAGGGACACTGTCAGGAAAATCTTCAAGTTTAGGTAATCTGTTGTTAATGAATTACAAGAGTATAAAGTTGGCAAATTTTCAAGATAAAACCTACAAATCGCAGAATGGACTATGACAGTACACGTGGTGTACTCCAACAGTATACTAGGGGGCTTCAGAATGCCCCCGTTTTCATGGAGAAAATCATTCCTCAAAATCGCCCAAAATTGCAACTTTTAAATCGCTTGTACTGAAAACGAAAGCACCGGAGCCGTCAAACTTTTACCAGACATGCTTTGGCATATAATCTATTTGGAAATACGGTTGAAAGTCTCATGGTCGACTTTCTTTCAAGTGGGTGCTACAGGAAAATTCAAAGTTTTCGGGATTTGGGCTCTTAGTGCGCTATCTATGACAAAATAACGCAAGCATGTTTTGAGATCGCGGTTTTGTAGTTCACACTATCTACTATTTATGGGAAAATCCAAGGTTAAGTAATCTGTTGTTACTGAATTACAAGAGTTTAAAGTTGGCAGATTTTCAAGATGGTGGAATCCATGTTTTTTGAGGCTTTTTGTAAAATTTCAATATCTCAGCAATGATACAACTTTTTGATTTGCGCCTTTTACCAAAGTTTATTAAAATGTTTTGTCTACCAGATCCTCCTAGTTTGAAAAAGTTTTTAGAACATCAATTGAAGAACGTCGGTCGTGACTTACGTGCAATGGCTCGTAAGCTTTCCTAATAATTCACTCCTTTATAATGATGGACATCCACCTTAGTGTTTTTCGATAATAAATTTTGAACTCAAATGTTCCCCCAACTGATAGTGTTCAAGTTTTTCTATTTAAATATTTTAGATATCTAATCAATTGCACTGGTCCACTGCAGTTCTGTTCTGTTCTTTGTCTACTTGAATAGTGAATGTAATCTCCCTCTCGATATATATACAACAAGAAGAACAAGAGCCGTTTTTCTTGATTTTACAATTTATAATGCAAATATTAGTTTATTTTGTCAACTTCGGTAAACAGTATATCCTGATATATTTTTCTTTAATTTCTAGTATAATATCTTTGATATTTATAGGTTAATATTTGAATTTCCAGCTGTTGGCGGAATGTTACCATCATCGATATTTCGAGCTGTTAAACTTATTCGTTATGTTACAGTATTTGATTATTTTATAATGGCTTGTGAAATTTTATTTGTTCTCTTTTCTATACAGGGTGGCCCAAAAGTAGCTTACCGAAGAAAAATTTGGATATCTGCGCGATCTTTGGACCAAATGAACTGATTTTTTTTTTCATGAGATCATATCCATAAGAAAAACGTTTAATAGAACCGCTCTGAAGTATTACTGTTGACTTCAATAAAAACTGTAACCTTAAACGAGTTACGAAAAACAGTATTGCAGTTTTCTCAACAAATCCTAGCTATTTATAGCTGAAACTTTCATGGTACACTGAGTAACAAGACATGCATCTATGGTATAAATTTGAGACTCAACAACAATAGTTTGAAGAATTAATCGAAAAAATGATATCTGTCGTTTATTTTTTTATTAGGAACATAAAAATGTTTTTTCCTCACTTATCATATGTTAGTTATTGAAGTCTAGGGTGTACTTTAAAGCGGTATTTTTGAATGTTTTTCCTATGGATATGACCTATGAACACTCCTCTATCCGCGGTAAAAAGACCAGTTCATTTAGTGCAAAGATGGCTCAGATACTCAAATTTTTCTTCAGTAAAGCCACTTTTGAGTTACTCTGTATATTATACCGTTGAAGAAACCATTGAAGTATATTTTCTATATCAACAATTTTTCTTTTTCTATTTATATTGTGTACATATTTTTTTATTTTAGACTTCAAATTTAAAAATAACTTATTTTAAATCGATATGGAGTTGTTTGAATGTTATTATTATTCTAAAATGATATGTATGCATTATATTCAATATTTATCGTCTATTTCAAGTAAATAATTTATTAGACTCAAATAGTGAACAATACAGTTCAAGACATGCTCTATCCTATGGCATAAAAAATTTTGTTATAAAGTTCAAGCGGAGTGGAAAATCCGCTACTTAAAAACTAGTCTGAAAATAGCGTCATCCGTAGGAAAATTAATTTTACGCAAAAACGAAGTTTTTAGGGTTTTAAGAAATCTTCTTCAAAATCCTCCAAAAACATTGAATTTTTGGCAAACTGAGATGGATTCTGAAAAGTGACACTTTGGGATACTGAACCGTATGGTTACTTCAGTTTCGAAGGTTTCGAAGAAGACATCGAATTCCTGAGGGAGTCCTCCTTAATACAACTCTATTATTCAATAGAGAAGAATTTAAATGTTTTTTCAAAAAATTTTCCATAAAAAGAAAAAAATATATATATTATAGTATAAACTTTTAAAAATGATTTCATTTTAAATTTTTATGTTTTTAAATCTATTAGTTTTAATAAAACGATGACATGATTAAGTAAAACATTAAACAAATGTGTCAGAGATATATCTAGTTTTGCCGTCATGTTTTTCATAAATTGGAAAAAATGGGGTTATCTCGTCTACCCATGAAATATAATTCAGAAGAAATAAATTCCAACAGACAACACATTTTTCTCTAAACTCGAAATCATAAAATATCGTCTAGACAAATACAAGACAAAACAAA